GAGTGATTTTATTTTCCTCTTTGTGCTTTTATGCATTTACTAAATTTTCTACAGTTACCAAGTGTAGTTTTATGATAGAAAATGATAATGAAATGTATCACTGAATGTGTAAGAATCCTACTTCCAAAATGCAGTCAGTCAATGGACTATACTAAATAAAAGTTCTTCACTGAATTAACTACCTTTTAAACATGGTCTGACAAAAGGAGAAGATTCTGAGACTGATATACTAAACTGACATTTAAAAGGTACGTTTTTCAAGGGTGCCTCAGTGGCTCAGTCGGTTAATCATTGACTCTCGGTTTCAGCTCAGGTCATGATCTCAGTGTTGTGAGATTGAGCCCCATGTAGGGCTCAGTGTGGAGTCTGCTCAGGGTTTTCTCCCTCCCTCCCCTTTTGTGCCTCTCCCCGCTTGCACTTTCTCTAAAATCAAAAAATAAAAAAATCTTTAAAAAATAAAAATAAGAAATGTTTTTTCAGAGTAGTGTGAGAGTAAGAGTGAGCAAGAGGACATGTGCATGAAAGTACGAACATGATTTGAAATATATTTGAGTGATAGAATTAGGATAAATGCCTAGGACCACCTTGTGAAGTACTACAGTCAAACTAAGCAAAAATGAAGCAGGAAAATCTGAATGTACATCATTCCTTACATATCTCTCTTAGATATTTTTTTGTTTAGGTCAAATTATATAGATCTTTATACAGATCTCTACACCCAAAAATAATTTTTGAAAAAGGCTTGATTTGAAAATATTATATACCATGACAGGTCAGTGAAGAGTTCCAACATTTATTCACACACATTGTCAATGAACTCAAGCAAAAGGCAGAATATTTAAGTTTAATTCAAGTAAGTCATTTAGGATACTTTTGGTAGCAAGAGGAATCAGGAATCTGGTAGCTAAGTGATGAGTCAACTTTACAGGGGAACTCGTTACACATCTTGTAATGGTTGGAGGGGAAAAAGAGATGTTAAATATTAGTTGTCTCAAATCACACCATCTTACTCAGCAAACCAATTTTAAAAGGTTGCTACTATTTTGGAACTTGATAATTTGATGAGACATGAAACAATGGAAAATTAGTCTAGTTATGGAACACAAGACATTCCCAATACTCCAATTATCTCAAGATGAAATTTGCTGCTCTGGAAAACCCAGATGTGGTGCGGCTTCCTAAGAGAGGTCAGGATCATGTCTTCCTTATGAAAGTAGCATCTTTAGAAAACAATGTGTAGGCCCTGATGTCACGGTGATGTGTAGTGGAATTATGACTGGTCTCAGCATGAAAAGATTGATCTACTCAGTCATTTTCTAGCTGTGTGAGCTTGGACAAACAACCACCCCTCTAGCTTCACTTAAATTATTCATTAAGTGAAAAAAATATTCATTAAGTGCACTATTATCCACTGTTTCAGTGACTGGTTGGCAACCTCCATAAGATACACTTTTGTGTTAAAAACTTTATAAACCCAAATTGACACACAAATGTTAAGACTAAAGCATCAATATGGGTATAATTGGGTATCTAAAGAAGCAGAAGGTTTCCCAGGAGAAACAACTCCAAATTAATCCATGATCAGATGTTATATACTTTACATCTGAAGACATTGCTTCAAACCTGTTCTATTTCCCTGAATTCACTGGTCAATTCTCAAGTAGGTATACTGTGACTAACTTGTTGACCAGAACATATTTCCACAATTGCTTGTTTTTGAGCAAACTTTTGTTTGCTAGTAATTAGAAACATAACCATGTTATATCTTTCTACCCTGGTTTGTCCTCCTTTCAAAAATATAGTCTTCATGGCAACCTATTTTTAACTCTTGCCCACAGCCAGATCTAATAAGTATCTATCAACATACTATACTCCAGAGGCCTGAGACTTCTGCCTTGAAAAGCCAGAGCTAGACACACACACCCCCTAGCCTACTTGGGACTTTGAAGCACAGCCTATCCCAGCTGAAAGGCAGGAACTTCCACCCATTCCTCGAATCCAGGAGGTGACTATTACTGCTTTCTCCACGCAGATTCTGCGACAAGCACAATAAAAATCAATGAAGACGTGGGACAGCTGAAAGTAATTAACAAAATGCTGAGACCACCAAAATTCACATTCTTGCAACCCTTAGACAATGCCCCAAATATAAGTCACTCTTGGACATACATCTGCTCCTGTGTGTTCATTCATACTGCTCTAGCCTTCTACTGCCCTGATCCAAACTCCACTCACAGCCTGCTTTCTTCTGGGGAGCCTAAAACCTGATTCTCAGGTAAAACCCATCCTTTGCCCTCTTCTTCCTTCCATTGCTCCAACCGTTTGCTCTTCCTGTCAAACCTGACTGGATCAATTAACTTTCTGTCCCCTCTGTTCCTACATTAGGTCACACCCTGGAGATCAGGGTAACTATAAATCCATGGTCTCGCCTACTTAACCTTCTCTGCTCAACTCCAAAACCTTAACCTATAACCTATTCCTTAACCCCAGGCAGGACACTGTATCTTTTAATTTGCTGAGAGGAGTGTCACTGCAGGGTAACTCCCTTAACTTCTCTTGTCCTATCTGAATCATTCTTTACCTCAGAAAGGCATGTCCTTCCCCATAAGCCCAATTCCTCTGACATGATGATGTCAGAAAACATGGGAAGTAAGGAGATAAACAGGTGGTGATTGTAGCAGGATAGGTGAGAGGTAACAAGGGCCAGAAGTCAACTGTGGCTTCGGGAATATTGATATGTTCCCCCCCCCCCAACCTTGAATTTTTGAATAGCTAACATGGGCTATAATCACTATAACCACTAGCAAAGGTGTGCAACCTTGCATAACTAGGAGCAGAGGGGAAAGGAACTTTAAAGCATCCTTCTACCCTGTGGAAAAGATGGCTGGGTAGTAGCAGAAGAAAATAGTGTAGAACAGTGATCTCCAAAGTAGAATGTATGCAAGGTGACTGCATAGGATGTGGGAAAATAAGATGTCTATTTATAATTACATTTTGTCTAAAAGAAGAAGAGGAAATTAACCCTTAAGAACATTTACTACAGACTGGCACTGGTGCCTGCCTTCCAGTGACATTCAATGTCCTCTTATGATCCCTATCTGAGGTGACCTGAGGACAGAGTGGGAGTCTCAACAGCTCCCAAACTCCTCAGTTTGCTTTCAGCATGTATAGCAGACTGTGGTTTATCTAGGTCAAGCTGGGTAAATTTACAGATTTTATGTCTTTTAATAAAATAATCTACAAAATGGATCCCTACAAAGAAACCATGAATTTAAGACACTTACCGTGCAACAAACAAGAAAGTGACAGAGATGACGCTTCCAAAACAAGCCCTTCATCAGCCACATCATGAGTTACACTAGGGAGGGTCTCCTCAGATTTGACAAAAATTTGGTCAAAAAACTGTCAAGACTAATTAAAATATGTACATATACCCACACTTCTGTTGCTAAAGGTCAATCTCAAACATTATATTGAGCCTTGAAAATTTAGTTAATGATAAAATACAAGAAAAAATACCTTAGGAGAAATTGATAGGCATACATTGAAAATATTTGCTCAAAAAACTTTTATTGGTGGAAATATGCTTCTGAAGAGGTCTGGAGACCAGTGGCATAGAAGTTAGACTGTAAGGCTGTGGGAACTAAATACCCTAGTCTTTGCTCTGCGGTAAAAGTAGTTATACCTTAAGATTAGTAACATTATAAAAGAATGGTTTGTTTTATCTGAGGATAACTTTTGAAAGCTTCTTAATCTCCAGTTTATTTTTTTTTTAAGATTTTTAATTTATTTATTCATGAGAGACACAGAGAGAGAGGCAGAGACAGAGGCAGAGGGAGAAGCAGGCTCCCTATAGGGAGCCCGATGCAGGGACTCAATCCCAGGACCCCAGGATCATGCCCTGGGCTGAAGGCAGATGCTCAACCTTTGAGCCACCCAGGCGTCCCTCCAGTTTATTCTCATATCTTATGCAGTCTTTAATTTCAAATAATGGAGTATAACAGAAGTGTGTGTAAACTAATATAAAATTCCTTTGAACATATTTTGCTTTGCATATATTCTTAGCACATTAGAGGCAGAATGAAAGATTCCGTATTTTTGTTGTCCTTCACCCAGATATGTAACATATCCAGACTCTGAAATTATATAAAATCAACCAAAGTTGTACAATTCAGTAGGTTAAGTCAGATTTTAGTCATATGAACTATTGCACAAACAAGTCACCCAGGACTCCATTCTCTTCCCAGTGGATTTTGGTACCATCAAGTCAATCCCTATGACAACTGAAGGGAATCTAGTAAAATACCAAAAGACAAAGTTATCTGTCCTTGCCTCCTTTGTGGGACCCCAAAGGCAAGTTCACAGCTAAGTGGCAGTGTTACTAGCTAGACACACACACACACACACACACACACACACACACACACACACACGCATGCATATACTCTTGGGTGGTTATCAGATCACTTACCTGACAATAAAGCACATGAACTTCAAAGCACCTTGTCAGAAAAGGAGTAAATCATCACACCTCATTAGTTCTGTTTCTTATAAACATTTAAAGCAAATTTTGAAATGATTGAAAAAACAAAAAAGGGAACAAGATCCTTTCCCAGTTTCTCATCCTTTCATCTTTACAGGTGACTCCCTGGGGGCCATAAAGGCCCCATCCAAAGCCCTTCCACCAGCATTTATTTCTTGCAGAAAGAACCAGATCTGAGATTTGGCCAGGCCCATGCCCTGACATCAAAGAGGATGTTTCATTATTTCAAAAGAAGGTAGCAAACATTACATGACTGATAGTTTTGATTTTTAAGACAAAAAAATCTACTCCATGATTCCCTAATGCTTCAGAACTATTATATTAATTAAACAAGGAGGCCATTTGACTGAAGTGACTCTAAAGCCTTGGTGGCCTACCTTAGCAAACCAAAACCTAAGCCTGTAAATTCCTCAATGTTAAAAATCAAAATACCGAGTTACCCCAGCGCCGGCCGCTTCCTGGTCCCCGTCGCAACCATGGCTGAAGAACAACCTCAGGTTGAACTGTTCGTGATGGCCGGCAGTGATGGGGCCAAGATTGGGAACTGCCCCTTCTCCCAGAGACTGTTCATGGTACTCTGGCTCAAAGGAGGCACCTTCAGCGTAACCACTGTTGACACCAAGAGACGGACCGAGACAGTACAGAAGCTGTGCCCAGGAGGGCAGCTCCCATTCCTTCTGTACGGCACTGAAGTGCACACAGACACCAACAACATTGAGGAGTTTCTGGAGGCAGTGCTGTGCCCTCCCAGGAATCCCAAGCTGGCAGCTCTGAACCCTGAATCCAACACAGCTGGGCTGGACATATTTGCCAAATTTTCTGCTTACATCAAGAATTCAAACCCGGCACTCAATGATAATCTGGAGAAGGGGCTCCTGAAAGCCTTGAAAGTTTTAGACAATTACTTGACATCCCCCCTCCCAGAAGAAGTGGATGAGACCAGTGCTGAGAATGAGGGCATCTCGCAGAGGAAGTTTCTGGATGGCAATGAGCTCACTCTGGCTGACTGCAACCTCTTGCCAAAACTCCACATAGTACAGGTGGTGTGTAAGAAATACAGGGGATTCTCCATCCCAGAGGTGTTCCGTGGAGTGCATCGGCACTTGCATAATGCCTATGCTCGGGAAGAGTTTGCCTCCACCTGTCCAGATGATGAGGAGATCGAGCTGGCTTATGAGCAAGTGGCCAAGGCCCTCAAGTAAGTCCCTCCTGAGGCTCTGTCTCTCCTCTCCATTTTCTCCACAAAGGCACCAGCTGGTTTTCACGTGGCTACCCAAAGGACACACTTCAAAATGGCCAGTGGGCAGAGAATCCTGAAGCGCTTGTACAGGGCTGGCTGGGGGGCTGGAGGGGATGATGGGGAATCTAGGTAAGATTTTTATTGTGGGGTGGTGTGGGTAGGACAGTGTATTTCAGTAATAACATACAGATTGGAAATTAAAAAAAAATCAAAATACCAAGGACAACCAATCACAAATAGCCAACTAGGCCTTAAGCAATAGCCAAACAATTTTCTTACATTGCTTCTGCTTACTCTCTGAGTGTCTTCCCCTGAGCTCCTCCTGTCAGTGGAGCACATACCCAACCACTCCCGGTTTTGGTGCTGCCTGATTCCTATAGATTTTTGTTCAAATAAACTCCTAACATTTTAAATAAAAATTCGTTTATCTTTTAACAGAACCAAACTTTAAGGTTTTTAGAGTTGAGCTTCATTTCAATGCCCTATTTTTTAAAGAAAAAGAAAGAAGAAAACAAAAGAAAAGGAAAAGGAAGGAGTGTGGGTTGGGGAAGAGGGTTGTCTGCTGCATTCCCTCAAGCTTATGTGGGAGGACTCTTTAGAAATCAGCCTGAGGCTCAAGGATTAGTTGGAGAGCAAACAAGTATCAGGCATCAAAGTCTGAAAAGCTCCCTGCGAGGGCAACTACTGATAACTAGGAGTAGTTCCTTAAGAATTCTCTGAAATATCTTAAATCACTTATCTTTTTCTTTAAAAGCTTATGAAACTACTAAAAAAAAAAAAAAGCGCAAAATCCCAAGGTCTCTCCTCTAACAGGGGTGGCATCCAAAGAGGCTGAGATAAAATCATTCCCTTAAATTTCTTTGAAGTGGAAATGTGATCATCTCAAAGCACCAAAGGAATAACCATTTCAACTACTTTCTCAGATGGTATGTTAATAATCAAATGCATGAATTATAACATATGATCTATTAGGTAGAATTACCCTTTCCATCAAGGGCTCTCACCTGAGATCCATGCTTTGAAAAAAAAAAAAAAAAAAAGGAATTACTATCACTTAAAAATGGCACCTAATTTCTGTCCATGTATGGGCAGCCCGGGTGGCTCAGCGGTTTAGCGCTGCCTTCAGCCCAGGGTGTGATCCTGGAGACCCGGGATAGAATCCCACGTCAGGCTCCCTGCATGGAGCCTGCTTCTCCCTCTGCCTGTGTCTGCCTCTCTCTCCTCTGTGTTTCTCATGAATAAATAAAATCTTTAAAATAATAGTAATTTCTGTCCATGGAGTCTCCAGGCTCTTCACTATTGGCCTTCATGAAAAAAGGCCAAGCAGGGAAAACATAATACTATTCCCTTGAGCCTGAACACCACCACTGCCTTTTGTTGAAACAAATTTACAGTTATGGGAAAAGTCATGACCTGTCATGCCCAAAATAACAATTTGCTGTTCTTCTAATTATCTATGTATTTTAGAGGTTTATATTAGAGAGAAAGAGTGCACATTAGTGAGGGGAAGGCAGAGGGAGAGGGAGAGAAAGCAGCGGACTCTCAGCTAAGTGTGGAGCCTGACACAGGGGTTTGATCCCAGGACCCTAAAATCTGACCTGAGCCAAAATCGAGTGTTGCCCACTTAACTGAGCCACCTAGGCATCCTACATCCTTTTTTTTAAATAAAGATTTATTTATTCATGAGAGAGAGAGAGCGAGAGCGGCAGAGACACAGGCAGAGGGAGAAGCAGGCTCCATGTGGGAGCCTGACGTGGAACCCGATTCTGGGACTCCAGGATCGCACCCTGGGCCAAAGGCAGGCGCTAAACCGCTGAGCCACCCAGGGATCCCCGGCGTCCCACTTCTAATTATATTTGATGCCATTTTTCTATTTAGGGAAATTTGATCATTTGATTTTTAAATATACATAGGTCAGAAGAAGATCACTGTTATTACCTTAATAATAGAAGTAGCCACTGTGTCAAATATCTCCTGGTTTTAGTTCATTTTTTTTTTTTTTTTTTTTAGTGATTTGCTCATTTGTTTATTAATTTATTAACTGTTTCCCCTTGTATATAAGATGGCAAGGAACCTACACCCTCCGGGTAATACACTGGCTGGTACACAGTTGTTACTAAAAATATTTGTAGAATATTAGGTATTTGTTGATGTCATTTTTATTACATATTTATGATCTATCCCTGCATTTTGATGTTTCCCAAACTTACTGTCATGCTATTAGTAAAAATACATCAGACATACAACCTTTATTAAAAACAAATGATAGAAAAAGTTCTTTAAATAATCAGGTATTCCATATGTTCAAGTGAATATGTTTTATTAAATGCATACTAATATCTTTCTATAGTATGTGAGTATACATAATAAATTAAAATGTATATATTTATTAAATATAGATATAATACCAGAACATGATTATTTCAGATGAGAAATCAAAATAAACCCATTTTTTAAGTATCTTTTGGTCACTCCAAATTGATATTGCTCATAAAAAAATACACGGATTTTCCCTGGGGAAAAAATTAATTCCATAGCAATGTAGTTAAGGGATGTGTTTTATTTCATAGCTTTCTGCAAGCAAAATTGCTTTGATACAAAATGAGTTCAATGATACAGGTGCTACTGTCCACTCAAGCAAAAGAAAACCTCACATTTATATGAATGCACTTTATAATTATATTCTTACAGTATAATAGGTCTAATGTCCAGGATGCCTCTGGCTTCATGTGAAGCCATGGCACAGAAATGCTGCAAGGTTCTTGAATATCATGGCACTGGCAAGTGCTTAGAGTACCTTCTTGTGAGTTCTTGGTCAAACACTGCATAAAGAACTGTGTGGACGTGCAGTCTGCTGTCTTTTAGTTTACATTTAAATCACCTCAAAATATATCCCATATGTGTGTCTTTTGGCTTTTCAGAGTTTCTACAAAAGCAAGAAGATGTCATGAGGTATCCATCACATTAGCTGTGGCTGTAGTGTGTGGCTGTCAGTGAGGAGGTGGACTTACCTGTAGGTACAGTCATGGATTTGAGTGTGTGCCCCCCACGTTACAGTGCAGAAATGTTAGTGCATGTTAAATTCTCTTCCCCTCACGTATCATGTGACTTTCACCCCAGAATATCTGACAAAAAAATTATACAGATAAAATAAAAAGACAAATACACAAATAAGGCCATCTGCAGAATTTTAAACTCACTTCTTGCAATTATTTCACAATAATTTCTACATCATATTTTACATCTTTCAAACTTAAATAATAAATGCTCAAGGAAGGGCCGTGCTGGAACCAATTGCACTATCTCTTTGAGGACTTGTCCAATTTGCTGGCCAGTGATTTCCTCTGGGGCGTGGGGATTTTGGAAGGCTTGGCTGTGGATGGCCGAGAACCTGCTCGGGGTGTAGGCCTGTGTGTTGGGGGGACAGTCTCCACATCTGAGCACACAGACTGGATTTCTGAAATGTCAAAGTCTGATGCATCGCTGCCTCGGCGGCTGCTGGCCCTGCTGCCAGCTTTGCTTCCGGCTCGGCTTCCTGGTCGGCTGGGAGTCTTTTTGGGATCTGAGGAGAGAAGACAGAGTCGAAGCGCCCTTTATTATTACCGGGTCCATTTGTGACACATTCTTGAAACCTAACGCCACCTTTAATCTCAACAATCTTTCCTGTCACCTAGTAGCACTCAGTGGACACCTGTGGATGTGTGGCCTTTCTCCATCCTGCTAGGGTAGGCAGCCTCTCTTTAAGTAGATGTCATAAACAAAAAGCTAGGTTTACAAACTAAAGGTACGTTTGGACTTAGTCGCTGAAAACAGGATTCCACTGACTACAGACAGATATGAGGAATATACCTATATAAGATTATGCTTTCCAAAGTCTAACATGTGTACCCAGGGATGTGTGCAGCACCCATATGGAGACAACTCTTAGGTGATAAGTAATTCAAAGCACATAGGAATTTAAAAGTAAGACTTGAAACTTGAAAGATACTTCAGGCTTGCTGAGCCCAGAACCCCAGGGACTGGGTTCACTCTTCTGTGAAGAAATAGGAGAAGCACAGGTGTAAGGCCCAGGATGGTTGGGTTTTTCCAACCACCCGAGGTAGAGCCTAAGGCAAGTTCTAAGCAGGCAGGAGAGCCAAGACCTTCCAGCATGAAAGGACAGGACACTGCTGTGGTTTTTCTCATGTTCATCTTTCTTTGGTACTTTCCAGAAAGGACATTCCTTTCCCTTGTCCTCATGACTCATTTATCCCCTACCTTAGCTGGAAGACTGGGCTAGGTGTCATTTCAAAAGAATATAGCATCATCGATTCGTTATTTCAGCCCCAATGAAGAACAGCCGGGACTTTAGCCTTCAGATTACACTGCAAAAAGCCGTTAAAGAAAGACCCATTCCACACTCACCAGCAAACTGTGTTCGGACTCTGGCAGCTGCGGTAGTTATCAAGCCACTGTCATCCCCAGAGTGGAAGCCTTTCCCTGATAAATAGCCTGGGAGTCGAAGCTTGCTTCCTTGGATTGGTGTACCCTGTATTTAATCAGTGAAAGGACACATCAAGAAATTGCTCCTGTTGGATGATCTGCCACTGACACCACATTACAGATGGGTGGAAACCCTCCACTGGCCCTCTTCAGGAGGGGGAGCAGGAGGGGGGGGCGACTTTTTGATTAAGTGGTATGGGATCTTACTGATCGCTTTCCTCATTTCTTTTTCTTTCCCTGAATTCAAAAGGAATTCATGTTGAAGAGAACACACAAAAATAGAGATCCCAAAATGATAGCAAGAGGAGAAAAAAAAAAAAAAGGCAAATCAAACCATTAGCATATTAGTATCTTCCAGGCTGTCTGTGAGTATTACAGAGTTAGGACAGTACTGCCAGATAAATGGGGACTGCATGGGATAGAGAGAGCAGGGGACTCTGAAAAGTTGTGCTTGGATATTCTGTTGCCTCCAAAGCTTTTAGGGAACCAGGCAGAAATGAGCAGAGAGAATTAGAACAATAAGCAAACAATGCCTAAGCAGTCATCATTAAACAAACTTAACTCCAAAAAACACATAGTGACATTTTATAACTTGGTACCATGCCACTGTACCT